GTTACGCCTATTCTCGTAACTGAAGCGGTATATGACGTCATCCAGAGACCCGCGATGCTTTGCTGACGTCAGCACTCGGACTTGTTTCCTTACCAAGAAACTCGATACTGCTAACTACACTGCAAACGGAACTTGCAGGAATGCAAAACTTCATTTACCACAACACTCCCTTTCATTCCTGGAAGTTCGATGTAGTCACGTCGTTGTTGGAGTCCGGCAAATGAAATCTGCAATTCGGAATCTTGTGACATGTAAACTTCATGTGCTGTAAGTAGTCGGCGGTCATTCCATTGGTTAAATGGTAGACCAATCGCGTTCTTCCCTTGTTGATGACGAATTTTGGCTATGACGAAGTGCGTGTAGATCCTCCTTCCCCCCCTCACTTCGGCACAGGAAAAATGAGTCGGGTTGAAAGTGGTTGGGGTTGCGCCAATGAACGTGGCAAGGCCGAAGGGGATGAATGCAAAACCACGAGAGTGTTGCACGTGGTGGAGAGGAGGCTCGGCATCGTCTGGAGGTTTGACAAACCATGAAGTGACGGGCAGATCCAATGATGCAGCTTCGGGCAAGGAAATACTGTATGTTGAGTCAGCAGTGCACGCAGCTGTTCACGTAGTTCGTGTAGGATACTGTTCAACCCTTCTGCTTCGTTGCATTCTTGAACGCGATGACGAGGGGTTTGGTAGCAGTTGATGCCCAGGTCTTGCTCGTAGTCGTTGGAGGTCGTAGTGTGGTAAGCGGCTTCTCTGTAGTGTAGGAAAATTTGCAGCGGGGTACGGAACTTGCTTGCTGCTATGGCCAGCCAAGCAAGAATCAAGAGCACGAAATATGAAGGTAGTAAAAACCTTGAGAGTGCATAACCTTTCTCTTGAAGATTGGTAGTTGGAGAATTGTCAGAAGTCTTCTCGTGAGTAGTTGTAGCGTTGAAGAATTTTTCAGGAGCGAGGTGGAGATTTTCCTCATGTTCTTGACTAACATCTTCCTTGATATTATCGGCAGGTGTGTCGTCAAGGATGTCGGTGGTGCTGCTACTTTCATTTTCTTCTTCGCTGCTGCTGAGTTCAATCGGTGGAACGGTCACCAAAGCGGCTGCTGCGATGATGGATGGAGCTTGAAGAAGAGTGGCATCTTCAGGAGGTTTTGCTGCCTTGAAGCGTAAAACGAATACGCCATTCTTTGTTTATGCTCTTCCGATGTACGTGTTGTCCACATCATGTATTAACTCCTGCTCTTGTGTCGTGCAGTTTCCGACCGTGCGGATTTTCTTCTTCAAGGGTTGAAGAGTTGACACTAATTTGAAGCCAAGATTGTCGACGAGTAAAACATTGGTAAGTCGTAAGGAATTTCCCGTGTCGATTGATGTCAAAAGTAGACTGCCGATGTTTTCTGCTGCAATTGTTTGACCGTTGGCGAGTGTGATTGGGCAGGGTTGAAGAAGTCGACGACGGTTGTAGATGAAAGGATTTGTTGAAGAGACCATGTGATGGCCACAACAACTATCCAAGTACCAAGTGTCGGTATCTGTACTGCAACCAGCCATGTCAGTGTTTGCAGTCGGTAAGCAAAATTTTGACATTACCGTTTTGTTGGCAGAGTTTGAATTAGTGGCTGTCGGCTTTGATGAGTTGCTTGGAGGGGCAGAACTGAATGTCGTTGGTGGTGTTAATATTGCAGATGTTGCTTTTGGAGGCGCATGTTGCTGAAAAGACTGCTTCGAAGGCTGACGTAGCTGCTGTGATGATTTCGACTGTTGCGGTTCTTCAGGAGGTAAATACCTCTTCTTAAAGTAGCATCTGTTGGTAGAATGTCCTCCCTTGTTGCAAATCTGACAGAAGAATCGAGGACGTCGAGTTGGTGTTGAATAGAAACTGAGTTGAATATCCCCCTTTTTGTTGCGTTGTGACTGCAGGTCAAGATCTTGTTGTTCCGCTTGAAGATATGAAGAAATTTCAGCTTCGGAGAGGTTCTGATTCATGCGCAGGAAGGCGCGCGTCTGTCTCCATTCGGGTCCAAGGCCAGCAAGAAGGACCGTGAGATACATCTCTCGAGGGAAGTATCCCCCACTTTTCTCCAGTTGATCGCGTAGTGTACGGACGCGATTGACGTAGTCCATGACGTTTTCATTTGTCATCATCTGCACACTTGTCAGCTGCGAAAGTATTTTACTTACTGTTATCGTAACTTTTCCCATATGTATACCCCTTTCAGATGGTTCCATGCAGTTTCGGCTGGTGTAAAACTTGAGTGAAATTATCGAACGCCGAGCTGCTCCTTCGGTGACAAGTTCCGTACAAGAACTGTATACGCCCCGAGAGAGGCGTGCAAGAAACTCTGCTGCTCCATTTGTGTTCCCATGACAGGATAGGTGAATTCTCCGGTGAAGAACGGCCAAAGCCCAGCGGACCGTGCCAGAAGCTCAAACTCAAAGCTCCAGGAGTAGAAGTCAACTCCGTTAAAAGGTATGGTCGTCTTGATTCGAGTATTGTTAAGTAAATTTGGAGGCTGAAAAACAATGCCTGGCTGTTGCTGTTGTTGCTGTTGCTGTTGTTGTACTTGCTGTGGTTGCTGATACTGCTGTTGTTGTTGCTGAGCAGGGGAACGACCGAAGATATAAGAAGGATGCTGAAACTGCTGCGACTGCGGCTGCTGTACGAAAGGTGAGAAAGCGAACGAACCAGTACTTGGAGCTGTAGCTCCACGCATGTAACTTGAGCCGTAAAGGCTCATTCCACTAAACGCAGATGAAATCGATTGCGTTGAAACTGGTGGTTGTACTGACGCTTGTTGCTGTGTTGTCGTCTGTGATTGTTGCTGTTGCGTTGCAGGTGCAGTCGATGGAGCACCTGGAGTATTCACAGAAGGCGGATTCTGCTGTTGCATACCAATATTAGCGTAGGCTGGTGGAAAATGCTCAGAGGCTGAGAGACCAGCGGCCATAGTGGAGGCATGTGCTCCAGTAGTCCCAGTAACTGATCTGGCAGATGGTGCTGGTGATGAACCAGTCATAGTTGACGGTAGTCTTAATTCCAGATAGCTCTCATACCACGAAATAAATCGTCTGGTGTTGGAGGAGACTAAGTATAGAATCTGCTAACATGATGTTAAAGTCTGAACTAGGAAGAAAAGAGGAGGCCGCCATGAATGGCGGCCAAGGGTTTAGCTAGGAAGTTGACGAGAGTGTCGAGAGAGAAGAGAGAGCTGGATTAGGAAGAGAGGGGAGTACAAGGAGGGGTTTGTACCCCCTACAGAAAGGTTCAGTAACAACCTACCAAGCCTATATAAATTATAACATATATAATTTGAACACACCCCCTAGGCTTGGTAGTCACACACCCACCCAACACACCACACACCCCCTAACCTAGCACCCCCATTCCAGCCACAGGGACAGCGACACTAGGTCGGTCGACCCCAAGGTGCGTGAGGCGGCGACGTCGACCGCAGGGGCTGCGGCGGCGACGGCGGCAGCGGCGGCAGTGTCGACAGCGGCGGCGGCGGCGGCGTGCGGCTGCGTGGCCCCGACGCAAGCGGCGACAGCGGCGGCGGCGGCGGCTTCGACAACAGCGGCGGCGGCACCCGCACCTCTCGGTGACGTGGCCAGACCTCGCGAGGGTGGGACGGCTAGCGGGAATCAGCCGTCAGCTGCGGCAAGATACAGGACACAGAGGAAGGGGGGCGGGGCGTGGTCCAGCCTCACGCTTGAGGCTGGCGTGCGGGCAGCAGGTGTGGCGGCGCCATGAACGTCGCGCGGCAATCTGCCGTCCGACGACGCTGCCATGGCAGCATTACGACGCCGACACATCGCGGCGTCGATGCAGCGGTGGGACGTCGCCGCTGCGATGGTAAGCACGGCGCCGTCACAGCAGTGTGGCGTCGACGCCACGCGTCACGACACGACGGCACGGCAGGAACGGGCATGGCTGCCACGGCGGCACGGCAGGAAGTCGGAAGGCAGTAAACGAGAACGCAGCGGAAGCACGGAGGGGAGCAGGCCCAGGAAGGACGTCCTGCTCTCGATACCATGTTAAAGTCTGAACTAGGAAGAAAAGAGGAGGCCGCCATTCATGGCGGCCAAGGGTTTAGATAGGAAGTTGACGAGAGTGTCGAGAGAGAAGAGAGAGCTGGATTAGGAAGAGAGGGGAGTACAAGGAGGGGTTTGTACCCCCTACAGAAAGGTTCAGTAACAACCTACCAAGCCTATATAAATTATAACATATATAATTTGAACACATGAGTACTTAACCAAGGATCTTTGCTGGAATGGTAGACTAGTAAGACAGCGGAAGTCTTATCAGAGTGAACCTGAGCACATGAACTTGTGGGTAGTCGAAGGTTGAATAACCTGAGCACATAATTCTGTGGAAAGTCAAGGTTAATCAAAGAAAGGCATTACAAGAATTTATAGCTCTAGGGAAAGTACCTGTTCGCTAATGTATCTGTTCGTCGCTATCGCGCTATGCGACCTATTCGTCATTCTATCGGGTCGCGACTGTTCGCGTGACTCAAACGACCCGTTACGCCTATTCGCGTAACTGAAGCGGTATATGACGTCATCCCGAGACCCGCGATGCTTTGCTGATGTCAGCACTCGGACTTGTTTCCTTACCAAGAAACTCGATACTGCTAACTACACTGCAAACGGAACTTGCAGGAATGCAAAACTTCATTTACCACAACAACGCTAAGGCCAGCGGGGTGCTCTAAGGGAACGGTGGGGCGGTAGGCTAGGGCGAGAGGGCGGAAGCGGGTGGGCGGACCTAACCTACTATGATACCATGTTAGAATAGCAGAATGAACTAGAACAAGGCAGTACAGGTGAGGATATAGGGTTGGAGTTGTACCCTCTATGAACACAAACATATCTAGCCTATAATTTCTACATGTGTAAGTTGACACAGAAACATGTGTTCCTATGCTGGTACTGAACACCACTCCGTAGGACTACGCACTGAGCTCATCAGATGGCAAGAAAAAGGCAGACGCATTGAATGCTGCAGAACAATGTTGAGCATGGCACAGATTTTCGTTTTTCCAGCATCATCTTATGTCCACACTGTTTGGCACAGGCGTTTTCCTGAGGTTGAAATTTCTGTAACCCTGCCATTCAGCTCAACCATCAATACTAGCGAAATGTAGAAAAGAAACAGGCAAGAAAGGGGCAGCAGTTACCCCTCGACCTCGACGCAGCTGTAGCGCAACCACCGGGCCAAGAGGCGCACACAGGCCACTGCCATGCAGCATCGCATCACACCACGGCACAGCACAGCACAGCACAGCACATGCCTCTCGGAGCACCTCAGCCGGGCGAGACCCATTGGCTTGGCTGCAATGGCCGGAACAACGTCGACTCGCCATCTAAGGGCCCCACTGATTGATTAAGCTCAGAACCCATTGGAGCCAGCCACAGCCTCACTTCTTCCCCACTTCTCCACCATTCCTCTCCTTCCGGTACTTAACCTTGCCCATACTTCACTGCCTCAATTGCACCATCCCCTATTCCACCATCACCCGCACCTCGCCTGCCTCCCCTTCCTCTGCCTCCCTGCTCCCCGCCCCACCACCCCGAGGATCACCCAACCCTTTCCCCGCCCCTCCATCCTCCCCTCGGCCTGCGCCTCCTGTTACTTGAGACGCTGGGGCTTGAGAAGTAGGCGGAGGAGGAGGAGGGCGGGGGGGACGGGCATCGCGAGGGGCGTCGCGAGGGGCGCCCCGAGGGGCTTCCCGAGGGGCATCTCTGGCATCTCTGATGCGCTCCCCTGCCCCAGAGCCCTCTGCTCTGCTCTCCACGCGCCCTTCGCCTTCACCCCCTCCCCCTTCACCACCTGCTGTGCTGTTGTGCCTGTCAGTCCTTGCACCCTCCCACGCCCCTTCCCTCGCCTGCCCGTTCGCCATTCTGTGAGGGCTGCTGACTCCAGATGCAGGGGCCGAGGCAGGGGCAGAGGAGACACCGGGAGGCCCCTCCCCATCCCTCCACCTACGCTTCCATGCCTCGTTCCTCTCCCCTCCCCTCTCTGCTCCCCTCTCCCCTCCTCTCTCCCCTCCCCTATCCCCTCCCCTCTCCCCTACTCTCTCCCCTACCCTCTCTCCTCCCCTCTCCCCGCTCTTCCCAGACCCTCCCTCTCCTCCCTCCCCTCTGCCCCAGCCCCCACCCGCAGGCCAGTCATCTCGCCCATCGGATCTCCTCCTCTCTGTCCCCCACGCCCCATCCCCTCCCCCTCCTCCTACTCTCCACTCCCTCCCTCTCCCTTTCTCCCTCTCCCTCTCTCGATCCCACCCTTTATCCCTCTCCCTCTCTCGCTCCCGCTCCCTCTCCCACCTCCCCCCCTCCCGAGCCTTGAACGAGCGCCCTTCCAAACCATCCATCGTGTCTCGATGCGCTGGGTCCCGAGCCTCTCGTCCAGGTTCGGAAGCTCGGTGCAGCCTCTGGGTTGGTTCGGCAGCAGGTGGTACAGCAGCACTAGGATCGGGAGTCATTCGGGCACTCCTAGGCTCGGACGATCCGCGCCTGTCCCTGCCTCTGTCACGAGTCCTGTCCCCCTCCCCTCTCTCCCACCCTTTCCCTTCTGCCCTTACGCATGTCTTCCCTTGCTCTCTCTGCTCCTCCCCCCTCCGCCGCTCCTCTCTGTGCCGCTCCTCCCTCTGCTTCTCCTCCTGCTCCTTTGTTCGTTCGTCCCCTCTCCCTCTCTCTTCCCTCCACCTTCTCTCTCTACTCCGGTCCCTGTCCCTTTCCCTCTCCTTTTCCACTCCTCGGTCCTTTTCTGTGCCCCTCTCCTTATCCTTCTCCCTATCCCTATCCCTTTCCCTATCCCTATCCCTATCCCTCTCCCTCTCCTTCTCCCTATCCCTGTCTCTATCTCTATCCCTCTCCCGCCCTCTCTCCCTGTCTCGTTCCTTATCCCTGTCCTTGTCCCTCTCCCTCTCTCGTTCCCTGTCCTTCTCCCCTCTCTCCTTCCCCTCACTCCCTCGGTCGTCCCTCAGCTTCCGGTAGATGTCAGCCAGTCGCGTGCCAGACAGGTGCGAGTGCTGGGCAACATAGTCCCACAGGTCCTCAGATAGTCCTGCAGGGAGGTGCGGGGAGGCACAAGGGAGGAGCAAAGAAGGTCAGCGCATGCAAAACATTTTCAAACCACGCATGGGAGAAGCAAGCATTGTTGAGAGGGATGTTGCAGACAGTGGGCGGAGAAGCAGGAGCGACCACTCACTCTGGAGGTGGGGGCGCGAGAGGGCAGCAGCGGAGGCTTCCCTCTTGATGACGCTGTCGATCTCGTGGCCCAGCTGCTTGAGGTACTTCTTCACCTTCGCCGTCACCTCCTTGGCCGACAGGTCCTGCCGCGTCTGCAGCTTCTTCAGCCGGTGCAGCACACTGTCCTGCGGCGCCAGCCGCACCTTGCACCACGCTGCTCCGCGCCTCCCCTCCCCTGCCTCCCCCTCACCTCCTCCACCCTCGTCCTCCTTCCCGGCCTTACTCCCTGCTACTCCTCCTCCTCCTGCCGCTGCTGCTGCCGCTGCCACTGCCGCTGCCGCTGCGGCGGCTGTCGCATCCTCCCCTTCCGAGATCTCCCCCTCTTCCTTCGCCTCCTCCTCCTCAGCAGCTGCCTTGTCCTTCTCTGGCGACCGCTTCTCCTTCTCTTCGTCCCTCCTACCCCGCCGCCGCCCGTCCCGCTCTCTCTCCCCTCCGTGCCTCCTATCCCTGTCCCTCTCCCCCCCTCCCTCCTTCCCTCTCCCCCTCCGCCCTCTCTCGTCCCTACCCGCACCTCCTCTCCGCCCCCCACCCAGGGCAACAGCGTCGTCGGCGCCAGGGGCAGCAGCAGCGCCAGCAGCAAAGGCCCCCTTGCCTCCTCCGCGCACCTTGAGCTTCACCTTAAGGGGGTTGCCCGCTGCAGCGCTCTTGGCGTGGTGCGGATCGGACTCCAGCTCCTGAGGGATCCGGTCAAGGAGACATCAGATTGAGGTTTGATGTGTCGCAAGACCATGGGGCTTTAAGCTCAAGACGCGCAAAAGGCACAAATAATCACGCCCCAACTCAGCCTCTGTTCAACTCACAATCACTCACAATCACTCACAATCACTCACAATCACTCACAATCACTCACCCCTCACTCACCCCCACTAGAACCACCAATGCCCCTCGCATCTCCACTCATCCCCTCACCTTGCGCAACAGAGCAGAGGCCCGAGCATCCAAGTGACTCCCCCGTGGCAGCTTCCCCTCCCCGCCTCCTCCAATTCCACCCGTCGATCCCGGGGGGGCGATCTTATTCTCCAATCCCAGCCGTTCATCCAGCCGAACCTGCTCCCAGTTGCCGAATCCATGGTAGTGCACCCCCAGCAGCAGCCTGGCATCATCCACTGGGGTCCATGAGGTAGTCTTGGCCCACGACGGCACGCGGGCATGCGACCGCAGCCGGAACTGCTTCACAGGGTCGCTCACTCGCTCCACTCGCTTGGTCAAGAAGTGCAGCTCTCGCACCCGCTGCAGCAGCTCCTGGGCTTTAATCGCCACGCCGAAAAAGTCCACCAGCGGGAGCTTTGGTGCTGCGCCTGAGGGGTCTTCTTCCTCTGCTGCAGCTGCTGCTCTGACGGCGTCCTTGCAGCCTTGGATCAGCAGAGAGTGGAGCGACCGCCTCTCCTCCTGACTCGATGCTTCGATCGCCCCGCCTGCATCCGCTGTCATCTCAGCCACCCGGTCCGGCTCCCCGTACCGCCTGACCGCCTTCACAAACGCGTTTGCGTCGCGCTTGGACAACCGCCGCACCTTCACACCACCAGCAGCAGCAGAAACACCAGCACCAGCAGCACCAGCCCTTCCCCCCCCAGCAGCCCCAGCACCTCCCCCTGCTGCTGCACCCGCTCCTGCTGCTGCCCCATCCCCCCCAGCCAACCCTGTGCCTGCTCCCCCTCCCCCTGCCCCCTCTGAATCCCCCAGCACAGTCCACTGAGTGACCCGCACCAGCGCCCCCTCCACAGCAGGCGCCGCAGCCGGGTACCCCCCCTCCTCGCCTCCCCCTTCGCCCTGCTCCCGCCGCCCGCCCCCTCGCTTCCTCTTCCCCCCGCTGTCCTTCCCTCCTCTTCTCCCCCCCCTCCCATCGTGGCCCTCATCGTCAGCATCAATGCCGTCGTTGGCATAGGTGGCGGCGCGGCGAGAGGCACGGGGGCCAAGGGCCTTCTCCTCTTCGGCAGGTGCTGCCTGGATGAGTCGGCTCCAGAAGGCAGCGTCGTTCTCCGTGCTGCTGAAATTCGCAACCTGGGGGGAGGAGAAGCCGGAGGGGTAGAACGGGAGAGAACGTACAAAGGAGGAGGGCAAGATGAGAAGCGAGCGTGGTGTATATTGCTAGAGGTAGAGCAGCTCGTAACAGGAAAAATTCTCTCACCACCTGCAGAGCTACTGTCATGTCAACCATTGCATCCCTACACTTGAAAACACACACACCCCCACACCAGCACTCGCCACAGACTCCCTCCGACGACTCACAGTGAAGGCAGAGAGCAGCTCGTTAGCCCCCTCCCCCGCGGTGCTGCTGTCAATCTTCTCAGCCCGCGCCAGGATCTCATCAATATCAAGATTCTCCAGCCGGCTCGCACCCTCCTCCTCACTCACGCGCTCCTTAAACAGCTCCTCCGCTCCGAACCGCAGGATGGCCGCCAGCTCGTTCTGATCAAAGGCAGCGAGGGGAGGAGCGAGGGCAGGGAGGGGAGAAGAGAGGGCAGGGGAGGGGAGGAGAGAGGGCAGGGGAGGGGAGGAGAGAGGGCAAGGGAGGCGTGGATAAAGGAGCAGCTATTTGAAAGTCACTCCTAAGGGCACTCAAACTCACTCCTTGAACAGCTTCTTCGCCCCAAATCGCAAGTATCCGCACAGCTCCTCCTGGTGGAGAGAGAGAGAGAAAGAAGAAGGAAGAGAAGGGTTGATAAGGTAAGGAGATGTATGGCTGCAAGCTGCCTACCAGACACCCACTGCCGTCACTGCCATCCCACCAATCCAACTCTCACCTTGTCAAACATGCTGCTGCTCTTCTTGTTCTCCTTCTTCTACAGCCTGCCTGCAGCGTTCAGATTCCGAATAACCAGGTGGTCCAGCACCATCTTGCGCTTGGCACCCTACCAGACACGCCCCCCCACCCCCCCCCCTCCCCTCTCACCTTGTCGAACATGCTGCTGCTCTTCTTGTTCTCCTTCTTTTCCAGCCTGCCCGCCGCATTGAGCTTCTGGATGACGAGGTGGTCCAGCACCATCTTGCGCTTGGCGCGCTCCAGGATGTCCTCCTCCACACTGCCGCTCGTCACAAACCGGTAGATGTTCACCACGTCCTGCTGCCCAATGCGGTGCGCGCGGCTCATGGCCTGGTGATGGGGGGAGGGGTGAGGGAAGAAAAAGGATTGTGGGGGGGAGCGAGCACCCCTCCAGGATGTCCTCCTCCGCGCTGCCGCTCGTCACGAAGCGGTAGATGTTCACCACGTCCTGCTGCCCGATGCGGTGCGCATGGCTTATGGCCTGGTGAGAAGGGGGGGGAAGGGAGGGAGACGGGAGGGCAACACGGGCGTGAAGAGAGTTCCATGAGGTGGGTAGAAGGTATGGCAATATGGTCTACTGCGTTGGGTTCAGCGCTATCACTGGACAGCACGTGCTCACCTGCAGGTCGTTCTGCGGGTTCCAGTCAGAGTCGAAGATGATGACCGTGTCAGCGGTGGCCAGGTTGATCCCCAGCATGCCAGCTGCACGTTCATTCCAGCACACGAACAGACCGACACCACACAAACGTGCGTGCTCACACACCTGCAGGTCGTTCTGCGGGTTCCAGTCGGAGTCAAAGATGATGACGGTGTCAGCAGTGGCGAGGTTGATCCCCAGCCCGCCGGCCCGGGTGGAGAGCAGGAAGCAGAAGTCGTCGCTGCCCGGCGCGTTGAAGTGCTCCATCGCCTGCTGCCGAAGGTCCGCGCGCGTGCTGCCGTCCAGTCTTTGGAACTGGAAGCCGCGAAGGGCGAGGTAATCCGCGAGAATGTCGAGCATTCGCACCATCTGAGTGAGGGGAGAAGATGAAGGCGTGGGAAGGGGAGAAGGGGTTCAGGAGGCATGGAAGCAGGAAGCAGAAGTCGTCGCTTCCTGGCGCATTGAAGTGCTCCATCGCCTGCTGCCTCAGATCAGCCCGCGTGCTGCCGTCTAGTAGCTGGAACTGGAGGCCGCGCGGGGCGAGGTAGTCGGCTAGAATGTCCAGCATTCGCCCCATCTGAGTGAATAGGGGAAGACGAAGGGATGAGAAAGCAGTAGTCAATCATGGCGGCGCCTCTCTAGACGATCCAATCGCTATGGAAAGAATCATATCATCTGAAAGAACGTTTTTTATCAATAACCAGGGGAGGAGGTAAGATCACACAAGGAAAGGTGCCTCCAATAAAGCCCACCTGCGAGAAGATGAGCACGCGGTGGCCTGTCTCTTTAAGTCTCGTCAGCAGCTTATCCAGCAGCGTCGTCTTGCCACTGCCCAGCACGATGCGCTGCGCCTTGCCCTGCGCGTCCAGCGCGCCCCCGGCCGCCCCGCCCCCGTAGCCGTAGTCGGCGCTCTCGAAGAGGAAGGGGTGGTTGCAGCACTTCTTGAGCTCCGCCACTATGTTGAGAAGCGACACCTGGTTGCTGCGCGCGTTCTTGTTCAGGTCCTGGAAATTGCGCTCCAGAATCCACTTGTAGTACCTGGAGGTAGAGAGGCAGGAGGGAGGGAGGTGAAGGGTGAGAGTAGAGGAGAAGAGGAAGAGTGGGGAGAAGAGGAGGAATCGAGGCCAGAAGAGTGAGGACGGAAGGAGGGGTTGAACAGAGGAGAGACAACATAGGGGGGGGGGGAGAGGGGGGGGGGGGGGGGGGGGGGGGTAGGATTCACAGACTGTGTCGGAGACATCTCAATCACTCACTGTTTCTGCAGTGGCGACATCTCGACTCGCAGGATGCGCTCTATCTTGGGCGGCAGGGACTTCTCCACGTCCTTGATGACTCGCCGCAGCATGTGCGGCCGCAGCTCCTGGTGCAGCGACGTGATCTGGAGGGGGGAGGGGAGGGGGGGGGGGGGGAGGGGGGGGGTTGGGAGGATGTTGGTGGCATTGAGAGGGTGATGTGACCCGCCGCAGCATGTGCGCCCACAGCTCGTGGTGCAGGGAGGTGAAGTGAGGAGTGAGGAAGAGTGGAAAGAGGAATCAGCGCAGAAAAGAAGCATGTCCCCCTCACCTCATTCTCTATTTGCCTCCCTCGTGCCTTTTTCTCACTATTCCTCCCTCTCACCTCCTTCTCGCTCTGGTTCTCCAGCAGGTGTTTGTACTTGGCTGAAAACTCCTCCTTATCGCCAAACTTGCTCGAGTCCAGGAAATGCAGAAGCGCCCTGTGGGGGGGGGGGGGACAGAGGGAGGGGGGAGGAGGGAAGGTGGGTTTGAAGGACGGGTGAAGACCAGGAAGGCAGCGATTCCTAGTTGCCAAACTCACTAGGGTCCACGAATTGCAGCAGAACCCTCATCCGCTTACCAGAGCTCTGCACCGCTCAACCGCTCACCAGAGCTGCTCCCCGCCCAACCACTCACCACGCATGCATCTATGCCCATAGCAGCACTCACCAGAGCTCCAAACCGCTACAACCACTCACCAGAGCCACTCACCGCTCTCAGCCACTCACCAGAGCTCCTCAACGCTGTTCTGCAGGGGCGTGCCAGTGATGAGCAGCTTGTTGCGCGCATGGAAGCTCTGGAAGTGGGGGGAAGGGCGTGGGGGCGAGTGGGGAAGGAAGGCGCAAAGCATAACATACAGTGAGCACAGAGCAGACCACTGCAGTGAGTGTAATGCAGGGCTCGCTTTACACGATTCTGCTACCGAGTGCTGTGCAGCTTACAATGAGCGTGGTGTAGAGAGCGGCCTCGCTGCTCTTGAGGCGGTGGGCCTCGTCCACCATGAGGTACGTCCACCGAATAGGGGACAGCACAGCCCTGCCTTTCAGCACCACCTTGTACGTCGCACTGTACCTTATCGCCTGTAACAGGTATTCTCAGTCTAAAACAGCAGGGCTCACAATGAGAGTGGTGTACAGAGCAGCCTCGCAGTTCTTCAATCGGTGGGCCTCGTCCACCATGAGGTACGTCCACTTGATGGGCGACAGCACGGCCTTGTCCTTGAGCACCACCTCGTACGTCGTCAGCAGTGCGTGAAACTTGCTCTGCCGCCCGCCCTTCCTGCCCGTTTGCCAGAACTCGTGCTGCTGCACCACCTGGTGATTGACAGTAGTCAGAGGGTTCAAGGGTGAGGCGACCAGAAAGGGGCATGAAATGTTGTGAAATCCAAACAGTACAGCCCCTTTTTGCTCGCCTGCCAGAACTCGTGCTGCTGCACCACCCGAGGGTTTTGCGTTCAGGGGGGGATGGGTCAGGGAGGGCCTTCCTCCGAGGAGGGGTGGGAGGGTTCTGGGTTTGAGGGGTCAGGGAGGGGAGGGTACAGCGCCCTTCCTGCCCGCCTGCCAGAACTGGTGCTGCTGCACCACCTGAGGGGTTTGCGTTCAGAGGGAGGGAGGGGTCAGGGAGGGGGCGTGGAAGGAGTTTGGCTTCGTGGATAGTGAAGGAAGGATGCAACGCACTTGCTGCCCACCTGATTGTGGTCCCCAAAGGAGAATAAAGGGTTGCCAGGGCCCAGGACGGACATGGGGAAGGACGTTGGGAAGGGCAGGCAGCGACCACATTGGCAACTGAGGGCATACTCAATCCACAGCGCATCACCCACCTCTCTGGAGGCGCGGTTGCCGACGTAGAGCACGACATTGAGCGAGGGCAGCCAGCGTCGCAGCTCCCTCTCCCAGTTGCTCATCGTGGACAGCGGCACCACTATGAGGAACGGGCCCTGCACCTGCTGCATGTGCTGTGAGGAAAAGGAGAGGGGGGGGAAGGAGGGGTAGGAGATGGGGGGTTGGGAGGGTGGAGAGCGGCACCACTATCAGGAACGGACCCTGCACCTGCTGCATGTGCTGGGGGGGGAGAGGGGTGTTGTGAGGGGAAGGGGGTTTGGGTAGAGGGAACTTAAGAGCGGCACCACTATCAGGAAAGGGCCATTGACCTGCTGCATGTGCTGGGGAAGGGGGGGGGGCTTAAGAGAGGCACCCCTATAAGGAACAGACCCTGGATCTGCTGCATGTGTGCTGGGGGGGGGGAGGTTGGGGGGGGGGGAGATAGGTCTAGGAATGTAGCACGTGAGAAGGAATGGTGAGCACAGAACGGGGAAGCAGGGCAGACGTACAAAGAGGAAGCCGAGCATGGAGACGGACTGAACGGTCTTGCCCAGCCCCATCTCATCCGCCAGAATCACGTTCGTGTCCCGCATCCAACTGCCACGCATGCACGCACCGCACAGGGGCACGCACAGCACAGGGGCACGCACAGCACAGGGGCACACACAGGGGCACGCACGCACAGGGGCACACACAGGGGCACGCACAGCACAGGGGCACGCACAGCACAGGGGCACGCACAGCACAGGGGCACGCACAGCACAGGGGCACGCACAGGGGCACGCACAGCACAGGGGCACGCACAGCACAGGGGCACACACATTCATGGGAGCATTCACACGTTGAGAACCCACATAACTGGAAAGAAACAATGCGCATCACCCATCCCCCCCCAACCCCCCCTCCCTTCTTCCCCCCACCCCACCAGCAGGCAAGCGGGTGGCTGGAGGGCGGGTACCTGTGGATGAGGAAGTTGAGTCCCATGAGCTGGTAGTCCCTCAGCGTGCCGCCCTTTAGCCACTCCGGCTGCACCTCCAGCTTGCTCATGCCTGGGGGAAGAGGGGGAGGGGGGGAGTAAGGGGCGCGCACACACTCAGCGTGCCGCCCTTGAGCCATTCCGGCTGCACCTCCAGCTTGCTCAAGCCTTGGGGGGGGGGGGAGGGGGGGGGCAGGAGGGGATTGGGGATGACACAGGAATGGAGGCGGTCAACGGGGATGAAAGGGGGACGAGGGGGGTCGCTCGCACAGGCTGCACCTCCACCTTGCTCTTGCCTGAAGGGGGGGGGGGGGAGAAGTGCAGAAGGATATTGGGGGTCACATGGAATCAGAGGGGGGCAAAAGGCCTTAACGGGGGTCGAAGTGGGTCACGTACATACTCTGAGCCTGCGCAGTCTCACCTTCCCTGGTTCCACCTGCCCACTGGTCCTCACTCCCAACTCCTACTCCTCACTCCTATGTCCACATCCCCTTTTCCCACTTGCCCGTGTCCCATATCCCCACCTATCCCTACCTCGGCAGCTCTTCCTCTGCGCCTCCACTGACTTCCCCACCACCAGCGCCCCTGCCTCTCGCGCCTTGAACTCGTCTATCGCCTCGCGCGCACACTCTATGTCCGCCTCCGCCTCCCTGCGCTCGCGGGACAAAGGGCGAAGGGAACGGCAGAAGAGTGGGGAATGGGGAACTCTGAGTCATCTTGCTGCCTCGTGCGCGCACTCAATGTCCGCCTCCGCCTCCCTGCACCAGTGGAACAAGGGGCGAAGGACAGTGGGTGGTGAGGGATAGAGAGGCGTGAAGGGAGGTGACGGAAGGTGACGAAATGCACATGATGAGGCGCTGCAGCGCGCGTGGTCCGCACCAGGTGTACGCACCAGGAGCAAGTGTATGCAACGCACCAGGTAGCTTCGGAGCAAGTGCACGCACCAGGTGGCTTCAGAGTACGAGAGCCCCTTCCACTTGACAAAGAACTCGTAGCTGCTGACCTCGTCCCCCTCCGGCACTGCCGCTCCCGCTGGCAACACTGCCTTGGCGGGGCGCTCAGCCACGACGCGGTCCACCTGCGAGTACTGCTTGAGAAGGTCCAGCTCCATCTCGCGCCCCACGTTCAGTGCCTCCACCTCCTCTGCCGACACGCTCGCCCGATACCGCCTCTCCTCCTCCGCTCGCTTCATGTAGTTCTGCACCTTCTTGAACCCCGGCAGCTGGGGGGGGAAGGGGGGTGGAGGGGGGCGGAGAGGGGGAGCGGTAAAAGGCAGGGGTGCGAGACGGGGTGCACTCGGGTACCTTAAGACTTGAACCGCCTCTCCTCCTCCGCTCGCTTCATGTAGTTCTGGAAATTCTTGAACCCTGGCAGCTGGGAAAGGGGAGGGGGGAAGAGGGGAAAGGCGAAAGGGATGGATGGGAGAAGGGGGTCCAGTACATGGTCGGTCCAGTGCTCGGTCCAGTGCTCGGTCCAGTGCTCGGTCCAGTGCTCGGTCCAGTGCTTGGTCCAGCTTGGCGAGTGAAACGACAATCAGGCAGCAGAGGAGGGGGGTCAGCCGTGGTACCATACCACAGAGAGCGCCGATACAGGCAGCCAGTCGCAGTGCAGGAAGGAGCGCCCCTTCCACTTGACGTACAGCTCCTGCTGCTCCCAGTCGATGGCCTCCCCCACGTCGTACTCCAGCACCGCCGGCCCCGTCGGCTGCCCTGCGGCGCGCATCTCCTCATACCGCCCCTGCGGCTGGTGCCACAGCACTCGCTCCACCACGTCGCCCTCTACTTCCGCTTCCTCTGCTGCTGCGTCTCCGGTGGGCGGCAGCATGTCGTCGTCCTCCTCCTCGCCCTCGTTGTCCCCCGCTGCTGCGATGCCCTGCGCTCACACAGACGCGCAGATAGTGGTGCGCGTGCAGCAACACGCACCCTCGGATATCCATAAGTAGATGCACGGGGCGACGCACATCTTGATCCAAGGAGAACCAAGGCAAATCCTGAGCTATGAACTCCGGGCAACACTCAGGCTATACACGGTTGTTCCAACAGGGCACGCCTAGGGAAGGCACATCTAGGGAAGCCACGTCTAGAACAAACCTTGAGTTTCTTTTTCGCAGGGGGGGCAAGGTCGTCCGAGTCCTCATCGTCCTCAAAGTACGACTTCCGAGGGACTGCCCGCCTCGACATGCGTGTCTCCCTCTGTGCCGCACCCCCCTTCCCTCCGCCTTTCTCCGACCACCCCTTCCTCCCCTCCCCTCCGCTGCTCTCACTCTCCGAACTCCCCACCCCGCCCCGCCCCCGTTTCCTCCCCCTCTTCCCCCCGCCCCCTCCTGCTGCGGCAGCCACCCCCCCTCTCCGCGCTCTCGGTTTCCCCCGCCCGTCGCTCTCACTCCCAGACCCACTCATAGACCCTGAGAAGTCCGACGAGCTCTCGTCCTCCCCTCCGCCCGCGCCAGCCTCGTCAAACGAGTCGCTCGCCCCCTCCTCCTCCCCATCATCCCCCTCACCATCATCGTCGTCCGAAGACTCTACAGTCCTCCGCCTCGCACTAGACCGGTTGCTAGCCCGAGTCCCTCTGCCGCTTCCCCCTCCCCCACCGATCCCACTCCCAGCGGCGGGTCTCGGGGGCGCTTTTCTGCGGTTGTTGGGGCGGCGGGGCTGGGGGCGGCGGGAGCCGCCGCTGCTGGGTTCAGAGGCGGACGAGTCACTGCTTGAGTCGGAGTCGTCGCCTGATGAGTCCGGGGACTCGCGGTCGTCCTCCTCCTCCTCCTCCGCGGCATCGCCCTGACAGCCCAGCGGATGGTCGGGACGGGAGAAAGGGGAGATTCGGGCAAAGCAACCGTGTCGGCCAGAATCGCAGGGCAGCAGTGGCCGATTTCCGGAGAGCAAAGGGTGAGAAAGGGCGGCGAATGTGCATGCAGGCTACCCACCCGCGCTCACCTCTTTGTCTCTCCGCGTCAGTTGCCCGTTCGGCGCGCAGCTGGTGGGGTCGAAGTCCTCGTCGTCCGAGTCGTCGCCTGCACGGGCGGGATTCGAACACGAGGGCACAAGGCGCAGCATTCTTCTCACGAGTCCCAACGCAACGCACACCACGACGCACGGCACCGCACTGGCAGGGCGTCTCAGAAGCTCACAAGGGCATGGAACTACCCCTGGCCATGACAGCCGCACGGGAAACACCGACGGGATGAACGACACTCGCCGGCATCACAACCTCGATGAACGGCCCGCAGCGAGGGAACGATAAACGACCCCATGCTCGTGCCTAACGCCAGGAAGGAAATGGACGGATGGACGGATGGACGGATGGACGGATGGACGGATGGACGAATGGACGGACGGAGGGAGGGAGGGAGGTGTACCTGGTTCGTCCTCCTCGTCGTCGTCCTCCGACCGCTCCTCGTCGTCGTCCATCGCATACCCCGCCTCCTCGTCCCCCTGGCCCCTCCGCCTGCCGCTGCCGGACCGGTCGCTCCCGCCTGAACTGCCCGACCCAGCGCCGTCGCCCTCGGGCTCCATTCCAAGCGCACCAGGTCCCGTTGTACGCGTTATACGCAGCCGCGAGGGAGAGCACCAAAATGTCCTAGAACAAAGCCCCAAGGCTGCTGCGTTGTTGACCCGAGGACAAGGAAGTGAGGGGAGTCAAGCCGCCCTTGAATACTCGGACTGCTGGGTCCGCCAGAAGTTAAATACCCGCTGAAAGCACGCAAGGGAGTCAAGCAACAAGGAAGGGGCCATCAGGTTGAGAAGCCGTTACGCATAGGCTGAAATCACCAAAGCTTGGAGTCGAGGTCAAGGTAATGGTGCAAGCATTGGCGCGAGATTCCTAATCGGGAAAGCGCGAGTCGATTTTGGACTGTCAGACGTCTCTACTCCATATGTAATCACATAAACACGCCATAGATTAGATCCCTGCACGGCCCTGCCTTAGGATTTGAACCAGTGACCACATCTTGGTCGGGCCCTGATCGTCGAGCTTTCCGCGAAAAAGGACGTGTCAAACGGCTCTAGTCGGAAAGCACGACGTCAGGTGGATCAAATGCAATATAGTTTTGACCCGTCAGCCATTGGAGAGGGTTGCTCTGAGTGGTCACTAGCCAGACCTTATGCCGCGTATGTAGGGGCGACGCTGAATAACCAAGGATCTGAAACCCCACCTACCGGCCATCAGACATGTGAACTGCCGCCTTCCTGCCCCAGAGGTACCGGATTTCCTAAATTAGGGTTACGCTCGATCCGGTTAAATGCATGCGGAAAACCCGGGGATTAGGCCTCGATATGCGGTCTCTGCGGGTGGAATCGGCGCGCGGACGCGTCGGAGCGATGTTCAATAGACCTCGGACGATGCATTCTCGACTCTAGAAAAATTAGGGTTAGCCCGCCCTGGCCTCTGGACAAGCAAAAAGGGCCTTGTGTATCAAGGAATTTCGATCTACTGAGTCCGCTTCCGGCGCATATCTAAGCCTGTGAAGAATCTAGAGACCTCATACGCGGCGACTGGAGGTGTCTAACAGTCAATCGGACGCATCTTAAGGGTCTGAGAGACCCTAAGATAGGAACCAGAGCAGCCATGAAACTCCCACCTCTGTAGGCCGTTCAGAGGGCTTACTGGAAGGCGAAGACGCTACAGAGGATGCCAGGCCTCGGCGGACCACATGCGCGTCAAAGTCTCCTAGAAATCCGCTTGTGAGAAGGCGTTACGCCAAGGCAAGAGAGCCGAGCCTGGGGTTTCCAGCTGCAAATCATGGCTTCCGCAGTAGCAGTAGTGAAACCACCATTTCTGGTATGCTGTGATTTGTGATTCAGTGGCTGAGGTTAGGCAGGAAGAGAGGCGAGGAGGGGAGGAGCGGGGGCGAGGGGAGCAGAGGTGGGGGGCGAGCCCAGGGCTGGGCCTAGGGAATGGTGGGCGGATGCGGATGACATCGGAGCTGGAAATCCCCGCTGTTGGTTGGATTCAGATGAAATTGACATGTGTGGCATATGCGTACAATATCTGTAAAACCTTTTTCAATAAACGCTTTCATTGGCCACTAGTACCTGGAATTTTCAACTTCATACGTGTAGGAATGACTTGCTATGGCTTCGATTGCGCTCTCAACATTCTCAACTTCCTATTACCCAAAAGCAAACTCTTCCAGTCGTTGATTGCCTCGCTCCATTTATTCAAATTGGAAGCCATGGGACACATAATCTAGGAGGATGCAGGTTGCGTCCTGAAACCTGAATGGTGTTAGTGATGTTAGTGGTGGCCGTACAAACTCAATGAACTCCAACTCCTGTACTCAGGATAGATGGGGTCACGTAGTCAGCTCCATGCAGGGACGATCGCCTGCTGGTGCTTATTCCTGCTATAGGGTGGTGAAGCAGCTCCGAGAGGTGATCGTACCTCAGAGTACCTCGGTCGTCTAGGTTCACTTTATTGAGAGCCTGACCCAGCACCCCTCTAGAAGCCGAGGTGGTCTGCACACAAGGAGATTACTGGAGGAGAGTTAGTCACGCTTTGGGTGTTGGATGCATGAATGTGCAGCACACAGGGCACAGCACACAGGGCACATGGCACAGGGCAACACACAACGTTCCTCACCTTGAACTCAGCAAGCCGAATAGCGAAATGCGCCTCTGCTTCTTCTGGTGTCTGCAGCACAGGGTGAGCCACCCTCATAGTCACATAGACCTTCCCGAGCCCTTCCAACGCAATCTCATACGTATCCACATCAAACGGCCCATCCTCATCCTCCTCCACCTTCCTTATCACCACACTCCCATCTGCCGCCACCACTGGCATGCCGCCCAGCGAGGGCGGCACCGCCACGTCAGCACCGTCCACCTGCAGCAGAGCCAGGAAGCCATTGGTCCCCCTCTCCTGCTGGTTGCCCTTGCGAGCAACCATGCGCAGCGAGTGCTGCTTGCCGGCAGATGACACCCACACCACGCCCACCTCCTTCACCCATGCATTCAGGCTTGCACGCGCTACTCTCCTCGGCATGCCTGCTGCCGCCAGCGCCGCTGCTGCTGCGGATTCCGGTGCTTGGTGGCTCTGCAGAAGCACGTTGACGTGGATCCGACGGTCGGAAAGCAGGCAGAAGGATTTTCCGAGCTGCCCGGGGAAGTCGAAGAGCGTTCCGTGCGTGCCGGTGATGTGCGGGTCGTTATTGTGCAGGCGGGACGTGTCACATGAGCCGCCCACCCTGCCACTCACGGAGCAAGGCAGCAGAGAAATCTTGTGAGACACTACATACCATGCATCATGGTCCTACAACATGCGCATAGCCATGTACTGTAGATAACGCAAATAAAAGTACACGCCGCCCCTCATAAACCTCCCCCAACACACCCACCATGCAGCATGCGTCACGTGCCTGACTGTCATTCACACATCTGGAGTGCCGGGGGCCAGGCAGATAGACGGGGCACATACCAGCTAAGAGGGAAGTATGCCGCCATGGCACCCTGCTCCCGTCCATCCCCGCTATAAGGATGCCGCCTCCCCGCAGTCCATCCGGACCCCGCGTTCCTCGCCAGCAGGTAGCACTGCACGCCGTCAATGAAGCCGCGGACGTTAGCATTATCGGCTAGCCGTCTGCTGTGGAAGAAGTGGTACGCGTGGCAGGCGTTGGAGCCCGAACACGCTCTGCAGCAGCTCTCCAGCGTGCCTCCGCTGGCGCCTCGCACGATGTCCACGTGGTTACCAACGTCCTGGTGAAACGAGCCGTTGAAACAAGCCGTTGTAAGATTGTCAATTGAAGGCGCGTAGTGGAAATGCGAGATAGCATGCGCTGTTTGATGCGCCTCAGAATGGGAATGCAGTCAAGTGAGGAACGAGTAGCTTCCATGGCGATAAGGTCTAGTCTCCGAGCCACCCATTCCATGGAGTGGGTAGCTTCTCTTATGTTCGTATGGCGGAGCCATACAAACAACCCTTGATGCCCGAACCACTACACACCCACGAGCTATACACCCATGGTGCCACGGAGGCTAGTACTAGTACCGCTACCAGTACTGCCAAAGGAAGTAACAGTGACACGTGCGATTTATTATCGCATTACTATTACTAGTAGTAGGTACATCTAGCAAGTTTCTTCCACCTGAAAGACTTCGAGGTTGAGCGGGCCTGACCCCGCCTCGTGCGGCTTGAATCTGCCGCCCTGACTGTTGAACCGGCCTTTGAGCCGTCCAATCAGCGTATGGTTTCTGAAGTTGCCCTCCGTTATATTCACATCGCGGAAGGTGTGGAGGCGAGAGCACACGGCTTGGACGTGGCACCCGTTGGGAGGGAGATTTGCGGCTAGGGCAATTCGCAGGAGAAGTATTAAGGCCAGCGATATTCTTCTTAGATCCCCGTAATTTCTTGCCATAGTACCGCTTAGCTTCTAGCTAGTACACTACGGAACATCTATCAGAGCGCACTGCGCTACTGATGTACCGATGAAAGGTCGCTCGCTCACTCCTACAAGGTCGACTAGAGGCGAGCAAAGGGATGGTCGCTGGGAGTACAGAGTTGCACCCCATCCCTTTGTCCGGCAACAAGTTCTGACCCCCGGACCAGAGGCGCTTCCAGGGAGATTCAGCGCGTGAATGCGCCTCACGCAATCTGCGATCCGTTTTGATGTTTCCGGCTCCATCCCTAGCCGTCAGCGGTTGGGGGGGGGGGGGGGGAGTGCTAAGCGAGAAGCTGGAGAGGAGGTAACTCTAGGGTTCAAATGCTGGAAAGATCATGGATGACGTATTTTCCATGGCGCCACTAGTCTTTGTGGCTTCGCCCACAGGGAAAGCATAGGAGCTGATGCATGTCGGCGAGCTGGCGATGAAAATTTTCGGTTTCGCACTGGCGAACGCGAGTGCTGGTTGGTTGCGAGAACGGACAGGGCGATTTGCGACGAGGGAATGCGACTCGGCGATTTGTGTTGAAGTGCAGAGTGTATGCCTCCACCAATCAGCGTCGGGCGCTGGGCGCTGGCTGGCCCCTCTGGGTGGAGTGAGGCGAAATGTGGATTCAGGCTGTTGGACTCGTGGTTTGCGGGATTCCACTTCTGATGGCGAGGCGCCGAGGTTTGATGGCGAAAACCAGGTTACACAGCGGTAGTTTGAACACTGAAGGTGCAAAACCTCGTCATTCGGTAACAGAACAGTGTTACGAGATAATGTAATCACCACGCGCACACAACCCAAATAACAAGGCTATCAGTTCTTTGTACAGAGAAGTAGTATACACATTGGAAGTCAAACTGGATCAGTTCACTTCCTCCTATCCCAACGCGTTGAAGTCAGAAATTCAGAATGATTGAACCCAAAACCAGGCCATAGTTGTCAAACACCTGTCCTGTTCCATATGCCTGACATTTTGAACACTGAAGTAAAAATGGTGGCCAAGAGGGATTCAGGGATGAACCTACCCACGGCCTTGCAAGTGAGGTAGCACAGGAACGGGATAACAGTGACCATGACAAGGATGTTGATGACGATGTTTCTCAGGAGATGCTTCACGAAGTGCCGGAGGAACCGACCAAACTCTTCCCGATCCAAGACTCCATCGTTGTTGAGGTCAAACTTCTGCTCGAGATTGGAAAAACATCAGGCAGATGAGGTATACCCCGGGTTAAAAACAGAAGCACAGAACAAAACCAATGTCAGTGTGGCCACGCACACAAGTGCACGAGTGCTGGGCACATGTGCAGCCAAGTGCAGTGGTGAAGGTGTGATAGGGCATTCAGTCAATCATGGCGAAGCGCACCTTGACCAGCTTGAGAACGTCCTTCTTCTTTGGTGGACTGAGATAGCTCCCAGGAGAGTAGCGGTTCACATAGCTGAGGTGCGGAAATCAGAGGGGACGAGATTTGGAAGGGGAGGCAAAGCACGCGGGGGGAGTGGGGGAGAAATGGAGGAAGGGGAGGGGGGTCACTGGATAGGCGAGGCTAATGGGCTGGAAAGGGGGTGGCTTATGGGCTGGAAACGGGGTGGCTCATGGGCTGGAAAGGGGGAGGCTTATGGGGCTGGAAAGGGGGTGGCTTATGGGCTGGAAAGGGGGTGGCTTATGGGCTGGAAAGGGGGTGGCTTATGGGCTGGAAAGGGGGTGGCTTATGGGCTGGAAAGGGGGTGGCTTATGGGCTGGAAAGGGGGTGGCTTATGGGCTGGAAAGGGGGTGGCTTATGGGCTGGAAAGGGGTGGCTTCTGGGCTGGAAAGGGGGTGGCTTATGGGCTGGAAAGGGGGTGGCTTATGGGCTGGAAAGGGGGTGGCTTATGGGCTGTTAAGGGGGTGGCTTATGGGCTGGAAAGGGGGTGGCTTATGGGCTGGTAAGGGGGTGGCTTATGGGCTGGAAAGGGGGTGGCTTATGGGCTGGAAAGGGGGTGGCTTATGGGCTGGAAAGGGGGTGGCTTATGGGCTGGAAAGGGGGTGGCTTATGGGCTGGAAAGGGGGTGGCTTATGGGCTGGTAAGGGGGTGGCTTATGGGCTGGAAAGGGGGTGGCTTATGGGCTGGAAAGGGGGTGGCTTATGGGCTGGAAAGGGGGTGGCTTATGGGCTGGAAAGGGGGTGGCTTATGGGCTGGTAAGGGGGTGGCTTATGGGCTGGAAAGGGGGTGGCTTATGGGCTGGAAAGGGGGTGGCTTATGGGCTGGTAAGGGAACAAGGTGAGAGGGGAGTCAGGAATGCAGCACGTGGTAGCAGAGGAATGGGGAGGCTCTAGAAAGATCGACTACAAGGTGAGAAACCAAGGACCATGAGTCACGACAGCGAGCGGCCCCCATAAAAGCTTGCATCATAACTCGTTATAACGAACTCACACTTGTACACGAGCAGCACTCTCCTGTACTCGTTATAACGCACTCACTTGTACACCAGCAGCACGCCTGTGTACAGCTCCGGCACGTTGATCACTGGCCGCCCCTCCTCGTCCTTCTTGCCGTCCAGCTCCGCAAGTTCCAGGAAAGCGCGGTCCACGGCTTTCGTCACCACGTCCCCTGTTGGCCGGAGGTAAAGCAGCGCGCACTGATTAGAGAAACATTTCACCCTGTCGTTTTGCCTCCCCTTTTCTTTCCTTTTTTTTTTCTTTTGCACCACGTGGGAGCACGAGAACGGCGATTGACGAAGCGTCTAACTACCATCGAAGCTCGCTCACAAGTCAAAGTTCACGCCCCAAGTATACGTGTCGCCTTAAGTAGAAATTCTCACACTTACAGCTGGCAACTTTGTCTGCCACGGCGCGGCTTCTATCGCGTATGTGAAGCGGCGACTTCATTGCGACCTAATGCCAGAAGAAACGCGTACGTGAAGCGGCGGCTTCTAACCGAGACGGGCCAATACTAGGCGCGGGACAGATAATAGGCGCGAGATGGAAGCAAGCAGCTGAAAGCATGAAAGCAACAAAGGGATTGTCACGAATGAGCAAGTCTAGGAGGCTGAGCGCGAAATTTGCACCCACCCCATTCAGATTCGCACCTTGGTGAGATTTTGCCCCGCATTTGGAATATGTCCCCCGTCGAGATCTGCGCAGAGCTGAGTTTGGCGGAAAATGTTGAAGCGCAAACGCATACGCTGCTGCAGAAAATTCTTGACGATGAGTCATCATGCGTAGCTCAGGTGCTCTGCCCCAGAGTGCGCCAATCAGCATGCAGTCACCCACCTGGCAGTACAACACCTCCTGAATCAATCAAGCTCGGTAAGTGCTGATCCGATAAGGAGGCAGAAAACGTTCCTTTACTCTTTGCCATACCTAAACACCAAAAGATTGGCAAGGACAAACGGAATGCTTGGCGTATTTACACTATAATGACGTGGGAAATCAAACATTTAGTGCGGGTAGAGAGGGGGTACGGGGGAGGGATGGTGATATCCTTCAGCCTGTCGCTGTCAGGTAGCTTTTAAAAAACGCCTACGCAACCTGTTGGTTTCGAGAGCCCCAGAAGCTCCCAAGGCTTGGGCCAAGCATAGACATGAGGACAACAGAGAGGGAGGGAGGGACGGTGTGCGAGGCACCAAGGAACTGCGAGGCCAACAGAGTGGCCAATGCCGAACTCGGCATCCTCGTGAAAAGAGAGATGGTGCGAGCGACTCGAGCGTCTTGCCTGTTGGGTGCAAGCTTCAGAAGGGAAGATAGAAGCAGAAGATAGAAGGTGGGTTCGCTGCAAAAGGTAATGATCAGTTGAGAGCAGCTGCAGTCAACCTGCCCCCTCGTCCACTCACCTCCACATGGGCGCTTGTGTTACAGCAGCACGGGGGCCAGCAGGCGGATCTAGTGAGAGCAGCAGAGCGCGGTTGAGAGCTTTTTTTACTCACCTCCACATGGGCATCTGTATTACCCAGTAACCAGCAGCAAAGGCAGAGAGATGGAAGAGCAGCACGGGGATCAGCAGGCGGAGGCCATCCAGGGAGAGCAGCAGGGCGCGGTTGAGGGCGAGGGGGCCGTCGATGCGAAGAGCCGTGCCCAGCAGCGCCAGGAGCGGCATGAGTGGGCGAACGCGGTCCACAAAGGAGCAGGCGTACGTGTTGAGTGCCAGGCCGAGAGACACCAGGAGAATCACCACTTGTAAGATGGACTTGCCCATTGCTAGGAGGTCTACAGGGACCACAGAGCCGATCAGGAGCTGGGAGAGGAGTGGGGTGGTTACCACCGAGGCGAACGTTGCAATCGCGGTGAGGATTATGGCGAGCGTCACATCAGCACCGGCCAGGAAGGCGACGTAGCCGGCAAGCTGTGCGTCGGAGACTGCTGAGAGAAGGAGGAAGCCGGAGGAGAAGGGCGGGGGGATGGCGAAGGAAAGAGAGAGGAGGAGAACGAGAAGAGGCTTTAAGGTGAAGTGCGCTAGGAGGCCCAGGAGCACTAGAAGGGGAACATATAGGCAAGGGAGGTGGTGGGGGGGGGGGGGGGAGAAGGAGGGCAAGGGTCAAAAGGGGAAACTAATAGTAGAAACAAATGACAAAAACTAGGTAGTAGTGGAAGGACGAGGACATGAAGGTAAGGAAAATATGAAGGAGGTGGGGAAGATGTAAAACGATGAAGCCGAAATACATAAGGCAACAGAGGTTGGCAAAAGGTAGAAGTGGGAAGCATCAAGGTAAGAGCTTGTTAAAACTAGAGACGAGGAAACAAAAGGAGTATGAATAGCAAAGCGGAAAGAAGTAAATGACAACAACCAGTAGAAGGAAAGAAAAAGAAACAAGGAATAGAGAAAGGAACGAAAATGCAGAAAATATGGAAACAAATGAGAAAGAATGAAGGAATAGTATATGAGGAATTCGAATCAGCAAAACCAGGAAAGAAAAAGAAGAGGAGATTTGAAGGAGGAAAATGAGAAGAACTAAGAAAATAACAATCACGGAGGAAGAAAGTACAAAAATTTAAACGAAGGAACATGGAGGGAGAAAGGAGAGGAGACTAAACTAAAGAAAAGGAGGGGAGCAAGGCGTAGGAATGGAGCGGAAAATATAGGAAGGACAAATAGAAGGGGAAAATATATTTCTTACTACGAGAATTCGTTAGCCGTTGGCTAGGATGAATCAATTCCCAACACATGAAGGGCCCAATGAGCAATAATAACGGAAAGGAAGGAGCAGTAAACGTAAGAGGAGGAATAGAGTGAGAAAGGTACGTAAACTAAGAATGGAATAGCCCATTCCTACATTGAGGAAAAGATTGCCATTGGGGAAGAACTCCAGGCCTAAAATTGTCAACATACAGTATATTGTTAAATTATATATTTTGTTATATAATTGGTAGGCTTGGTAGGTGTTACTGAAACCTATTGTAGAGGGTACAAACCCCCTCCTTGTATCCCTCTCTCTTCTATTCTTGACCCCTTTTCTCTCCTCAACTTTCCTAGCCTAAAACCTCTCGCCAAATCTATGGCTTCCTACCGTTCCTAGCCACCTTAGTTTAACATGGTAACATAGCAGGTTCCCTTTCCCGGGCGTGCTCCCCACGCTTCCGCCGCACACTCCTTTTCTCCCTCTCGCGCTGCCATGGCGGCCGCATCGTGCTGCAGTGGCGGCGTCGTCGTGCCGCTGGCCGCGTCGTGCCGCGGCCGTCTCGACGCGCTGTCGTGGCGTCGCGCTATCATGGCGTCGACGTCTCGCCGTGGCGGCGTGACGGCGCCGTCGTGCTGCTGTGGCGGCGTCGTTGTGCCGCTGGCCGCGTCCGTCTCGACGCGCTGCCGTAGCGTCGCGCCGCGTGGGGTCGACGTCCAGCCGTGGCGCCGTGACGGCACCGTCGTGCCGCCGTCGCAGCGTCGACGTTCCGCCGCGGCATCGACGCCGCTCTGTGACGGCGTTGTCGGTCTGCAGCCGACCGCGCAATGCCCGTGGCGCCGTTAGACCTGCCGCCCGCTTGCCAGCCACGGGCGTGATTCTGGACCATCCCCCCCCCCCCCCCCCCCCCCCCCCACCCCCCTTCTTCCCCTGCGTCCCCTCTTCCTTGCCACAGCCATCGAATGCCTTGTGAGGGCCTTCTCCATTGCCGATGAGATTGGCCATGCCACCGAGAGGGCGGGGGCCGCTGCACTCGCCTCTGACGTTGAAGCCGCCGCCACCGCCGCTGTTGCCGTGGCCTGTTGCTGCTGCACGCTGCCACCGCCGTCGCTTTCGTCACTGCCGCGACTACCGCCATTGCCATCTCCCGGGCCGTGGGTGTTGATCGATTCCGGAGTCATCGCGGCTGCTGCTGGGAAAGGGCGGGCTAGGTTAGGGGGTGTGGGTGTGTGTGGGCTTGTTACTACCAAGCCTAGGGGATGTGTTCAATTATATATTTTGTTATATAATTGGTAGGCTTGGTAGGTGTTATAGAAACCTACTATAGAAGGTACAACCCCCCTCCTTGTATCCCTCTCTCTTCTATTCTCGACCCCTTTTCTCTCCTCAACTTTCCTAGCCTAAAACCTGTCGCCATTTCTATGGATTCCTACCGTTCTTAGCTACCTTAGTTTAACATATAGTTGTATATATTATAGACTGGATATGTGCATGCTCATAACCATAGCACCATAGCACGAAACCTCACTGTATGGCACAATCTAGTTCATTGCGTTTTTCTAACATGGTATGACACTAGGTTAGGCCCCCCTCCTCACCTACGCTTCCGCCCCTAGCCCTAGCCTTAGACCGCTCCCTAGCCCGTGCCCCGTCATGCCGCGCTGGCCCCGTCATGCCGCGCCGGCCCCGTCACGACGCGCCGGCCCCGTCACGACGCGCCGGCCCCGCTAGACCGCCACGGCCAGGTCACGCCGCGCCGGGCCCGTCCCGCCGCGCCGGCCCCGATAGACTGAGCCGGCCCCGTCATGCCGCGCCGGCCTTTTCACACCGCGCCAGCCCCGTCACGCCGTGCCGGCCCCGTCACGCCGCACCGGCCGCGTCACGCCGCGCCAGACCCGTCACTCCGCGCCACGCCGAGCTGCTGAGCTGCTGCGCCATGCAGCCGAGCCGCCGCGCTGCGCCGCCATGCCGCCGAGCCGCAGAGCCGTGCCGCCGAGCCGCCATGCCGCCGTGCCACCGCATTACGGAGTCGCCGAGCCAACGCGTCGCGGAGTCGCCGAGCCGCCGCGGTGCTGTGCCGACTCGACCTGCCGGCCCTGGTTCCCCCTTCTGTGTCGGCGCTCCTGACGGCCGTCTCCACCACTGCTCTCCACCACCCTCTCCTCCTCCTCCCCTAGTGGCAGTCAGTTGCTGCAGCTGCGGCGATGGCAAAAGCTATGTTCCGCCTGGACGCGGAGGGTCGGGCGACCGACTTTGAGGCATGGCTCGCCGACCTCCGCCGCTTGCTGAGGGGATAGCGCTAGGATGGCCAGTCTCTGGCCATTCACGTCGACAATAAGTTCCCCTACCCCGCCCTGCCTGCTGCCCTCTCTGACGCCCCCATGCCCGCTGAGCGTGAGGCCTTTGCAGCTGTTGAGCTCGCTCACTCCGTCTGGGAGTCGCGTGACGTAGTTGCCCAGCACGCCCTCCCCCTGTAAGAGCGCCCCCGCTAGCAGGCCCTAGAGACTGCGCAAGCGTACTTAGATCCTGTTATTGCACGCGATTCAACTCCCTCCTCCACCTTTGCCGGTCATCTCTTCCTCCCCCTGCTCTTCCCTGACCTTGCGTCTTTCCCACTGTCGTTAATCTCGCCACTCACCTGCGCGCACTAGAGGCTAGCTACTACGCTGCTAGCACCGAGGCTCAGCTCCTTGTACTCCCTCCCCCACTCGGTGCTACCCTCTACTTCCTTGCCACGGGCCTTCCTGACCGCCTAGCCACTGCCCGCGACCACTTCCTTGCCCTCCACCCTGCTGACCTCACCTTCACTGACTTTGTCACTATCATGGCCGCGATAGAGACCCGCCAGCGCACTATCGCTCAATCGAGCGGTACTGCGGCGGTCCCTATCTTCCAGTGCTGTGCTCCCTCCCAGTGCACTTTGCCGCTGTAACTGATACGGCCACTATTGCTGAGACCGCTGCGGTGGCCTCAGCGCAGTCTCGTCAGGGTAGGGGACGCCAAGCCCGG